AGACGGCAACGTGCTGTCCTGAAGTGTTTGCATTGCATGAGTAGCTTGTTCTACTTCCTGAATAGAGCAGGACATAAGCATGACATTTAGCAAACCTTGTGGTTAGTGAGTGTCATTAATACAAGTATGCAACCACACCAGTAATGAAATGTACAGCAGAATGGGAGAAAGAAAGAATAAGAAAATGACTAACAAAATGAAATACAAAAATTATAGAATTTGAAAGGCCGCTGAAACAATCTTGTAGTAATAAACGAGTATAATCCAATCTGACTGAATAAGAGAATTATTCATCTTCGCCAGATGTTTTAAATGTTTAGTAATGCTATTGGCTCTGACTAACTAATACGAAGTATTAACATTGGCTGCATAGATATAAATATAAATATGCTTGTAATACCTCATAATCTGCAAATGCAACTGGCATGCCACCTCTAGCACGCAGCTTCAGCCCATTGAATCCAGAATATCTAAACATATCATAAGGAACGCAAAAACACTTAGACGAGTGACATGAGGGATACAAAAAGAACTAGGCTCAAGAAAATTGAGGCTCACATACTGAGAAAGTGCTTGTCTAAGTTCATCCTCAGTGCAGTTAGGCCCTAAATTAGCAATAAACAAGGTGGAGCATGGCCTTAGATCGCCTTGAGAGGCCTTTTCTGTCTGCTCCTGTAGACATGGTTCAAGAACAAAAGATAAATCTAAAACAAAAGTATACTGAAATGCACCACGAGTTTGTGGAACAAAAAGGAGCTGTAATTTAAACACATCAGACAAAAGCAGTAGGATCAGAACAATAGAACTAGGCCTCGTTCTAATCACCTGAGGTACAGATACTCTAATTTGACACCATCCATATTACTAACCCTCATCTAAATTTATCTATTTTAAAACATACTCTGTACAAAGCTAAGGTGGAAAGAACAAGGCACCTCAAAATATGTTATTGACAAATAAACTCAATAGTTTGTTTTTTTTTTTTTTTTTTTTTTTTTTTTTTTTTTTTTGGGTAAGGAGAAAGGCCCTACCGGGCCGGAACCTCTCACAACAAATAAACTCATAGTTGGTAATTAGACTCATTAGGATAAGGTGACATACATACAGTCATATCCACAGTTTCACTGACACAGGGTTCATGTAACTATGTAAGCCAGACCAAGATCTAGGCTCTCATGCAGCCTACACCCATGAATACCTATATTCAGTTAAAACACAAACATTATAATATATACAAAGAATAGTCTTTTTAAATTTCAGCCTTCAAAGAAACTTTCCAGCTTATACTGTAGGTAAAAACTACTCCCTCCATCTCTAAATACGAGGTCACATTTGGTATGATGTCATAGAATTGAAAACTACCATAATATCCTTCCCTTTGCAATTTTTTACTTCACCACAACACATGGTGTAACTCTTCAGAGTGTTCTGTTATATCACTGATAATATTATGGACAAGTTGAGGGTTTAACTTATCAACCAATTTAAGGGACTATTATTTTGAGAGAGCTCAACATAAAATTGTGTAGCCTATAATTCAAAGATAGGAGTAACAAAGAAACAAGTTAAGGAATCAATCACCAACATTTGCAGCAGCCACAGTACCACCAAGTTTCACGTTCTCCTCACTGTACAACATCATACATGGTGTTAGAAGTTCACTCAATAACGAGATAAACAACACATACATGCACAATTGCACACAGAGTCACACACATGCATGCACACACATACACATACACACACACACAATATGCTCAAGCAAACATTTAAGCTTGTGTATAAATAGGCACATATACGTTTAGAATATTGGTGGGTATGATGTATGAAGAAAAGCAAACAGGGGCATTCTTGAAATGTAGCTCATATTTCTTTTAAGAAACTATCATGTTCCAAGTTACAAACCTTTTCACAGTGGACTGCGTATTATTGTTGGAAGAGTCAGGGTCTTCACTCTGATCAGACTCATTATCACCTGCATGAAAAACAATGGTCAAGTACATATCAATATTCCTGGTCATCGTCAATTGGAACCTATATCTGGTTTATTTTAAAAACATTAAGCAGGGATAAAAACAATAGAATAAATAGCAAAAAGGAAGATGATGCTGAAATGGGTAGCTGCAATAATGAACATGATTTCCTATCAACACTCAAACTGTCATTTGCATTAAAGAATAGAGAGTACCATCATCACTTGATGTATCTTCAGCATCATCTGCAGATATTTTCCTTTTATCGATCACAACATAAGGTCCACTACCTTAAATAGAAAGGAATAAATAATGAAGTAAGAAGAAATGAAGTAAAGCTACATTGAGACACAGAATAACAAATAACATGAAAGTGTCTGTTGGGCATAAAGCATGCACCTGGTTTATGTTTTCGCCTTGAGTTTGATCTAGCCAGTTCAATATGCAGAACTGATCCAGCTTGTGGATCAAACTTGATACCCTAGACATTGGAAACATAATGTATACAGATTATTGTTCCAAAAGGAAAAGGATTAAGCATTACTAAATCCTATATGCAATATATGGTACTGGAGTTTTGCAAGAGCCAATAACTGTTAAAATTGTTGATGATCTTGATAAATACCACAAATCTACGATTAATTCATAGCACTAACTCCACCACACCTCCCCCCCCCCCCCCCCCCACCCTTCTCTCTTGCTCCTTCAAGTGCAAACACCTCAAAATGCTTCAATATCTATCTTCCCTTCTAATTTATATTTACACCACAACCAATGTAACACTAAACTTTGAATGGTTGCTCTTAAAGTACAAAATCAACTTGAAAACATCTCTATATAGATCAATTTTCAAGACAGATGTTATTGAACGATGCAGAAGGTTATTAATCCAAACCATAAACATGGACACTGTAGCTTTTCTCCAAAATGAATACTGATATCTTTATATCTACTGCCACAAACGCCACCACCCCTTAATACTAACCTGTACACGATTGCTATCCAACCCGAATTCATTCCCCTCGTTCCAACCACAACATTATAGTATTATACTAGTACAAAGACATCAAATTATAACATCAACAATTCATACAATAGATCAAAATAGAAAAACACATTTCCATATAACTCTATTCGAGGACTCACAGCAATACTCATAAAGATCAAACATTTTCATTAAATATGCTTACATCTAAGGCTTGTAATGCCAGCACAGCTGATTGATGGTTATAAAATGTCACAAATGCAACTACCTGCATACAAAAACATAAAAAATAATATGATCTTATTAAATGAAACAACAGAATCCAATATCAATAACAACCCAATTCAGCTAATTGAAAAACCCAAAACACAATATTGACCCAGAAATCAAACTTTAATCATAGGAAAATGCAATAGAAATTAAAAGGGCAGGGGCAAACTTGATTGCCGCGGCCAGTAAACTTGAGCTGACAAGAATCGAACCCAGGACGACGGCGGAAAAGGTTGTGAATTTCGCGAGGCATGACATCGTCAGGGAGGCCGGAGACGAAGAGGGTGTTGATATGACGCTGTGATTTGGGGATGTGAATTGGGATAATTGGGGTGGTGCTAATACTGGGATTATTACTGGAATTGGAGATGAAATCATGAGAATGGTTAAAATTAGGGTTTATAGTTTCGCTGATGTTGTGGTGGAAGTAGTATTCTGGTGGTTGGTGGCGGTTTTGGTGGAGGTAGTATGGCTCGTACGGTGGTTGCACCATTTCTCTTCTTTCTGGTTAGTCTTTGGGTTTTGCAGGGTTCTGGGTTTGTGTTAACTTGCCCAATTTTGCGGGCCTACTTGATAAACTAATACAAGTACGGAGTATAATACACTATATGTCTATACTCACTCCGTTCTGAAATGATCTTTTATACGTACTTAATAATTTTGATTTGTTTCTATATACTATCTCCATTACATATTATTTGCAACGATTAGACATATTTTACTCACACTCTATGTCAAATCGTTGCAAATAATATAAAACGGAGCGAAGGTAGACAAATGGTATCTAATATACTTCATCTGTTCCTATTTGTTTACCTCATAGCAAAAATTTGAGTCAAACTTTAAAATCTTTGACCATAAATTCTCATTAATTTATAAGTAATAATATAGTCAAGGGGGATTTAGTTGAATTCGTCCCATCGTATACTTTATTAATATAAGGTTTTTATAAATTTTACGCAAATGAAAATTAAGATATTTACGTTCTAATACGTGTTTTGGAGACCGTGAAAAGTTCAATGGAACAAATAAATAGGGAATGAGGGAGTAGCTTTTTTTTTTAATTCTTTTTTGTTGAAACTTGATTAATACGGAGTTTTCAATTTTTAATTTTACCATTTTAGTTATGCTGAGAATAATTTGATTTCACCATGGTAGAAATGGTGAGCTCATCACAATAAATGGTTAAACCACAGTGTATTTGGACGTCTTATTAAAGTTTCCGTCATGTAGTATTAAGCATCAGTGATCAAATTATGTGTGTTTAAGAGCAAATTAATGACAAGATTTAGGCATTCATTTATTTGGAGGGGAAGGGCGGGGGTTATGAGCTTAGACTTAATCCGATTATCCAACAGAAAGAGTGTGCACTCACAACTACTAGTAGCCAATTGCAGGTGTACAAAATTCATATTTGGATTGCATGTGTGTAACTCCGTAATTCATTGCAAGCACCATGTCCTAATCAATCACCGCTAACGTGAATGAAAACATCGTAATCTTCATCTTTTAACTGTTTTTTTTTTTCCCATTTCTAGAGAGTTGTATTTGTGGGGCACGTTAAATAAAAAATTATATTGAAAATGTTCTATTTATTAATTTTAACCGTCATTAAAAAAAAAAAAATTGACGGTGAAAAATTATCCCATTAACTTTAAACAGTCATACAGTTTAACCCCTAACTAATGCCAAGTGATGTTGTTATAACAATCTCCCGTAACTTTTTCATGAGTTAGAATAAACTACTACTCGTACTCTTAATAAAAATGGACTAATGGAGAATCAACACAATTAAATGCAAAACTGTGACATTATTCAACAATTCCAATTACCAAGTACAATTCCAATTACACACTACCATCAACACGTGCCAACCAAATAAATTTATAAAAAAATAAAATCAAATTATGAGGAATCAATAATAAGACAAGAAAAAAGTCAATACAACAATAACGTTGACTAAAGATCAAGGATGATCAAATACCGGTCCGACCGGCAAGCAAACCGCCGGCAGCAGCTTGTTCTTCATCCAAGAACAAATCATCAGACCGTCGAAAAACCGAGTAAATTACAATCACCCCAACACCAACAGCCAAAGCAATCAATATATTTCCAGTAGCACCCGTCAACAGCAAAAACCCGACGGTCAATACCGAGAGAACCGCGAGTATAATCCGATCGTCAATGGACCGACCGAAGAGAACAAGCGGTTCATCCCTGAGAAAGTAGAGAAAAAGCCAAGCAACCATCATAATAAGGAAGACGATGAGGGAGATGGGGTGCCAGAGGAGAGAGACGAAGAGGATGAGGAGAACGATCATGGCGAAGTTCATACGGAAGTAAGAGAAGTTGGTTTTGAGGCGAGAGAAGGCGTCGGAGAAGTGGTGGGGGAAGGAGAGGGAGTGGCGGTCGAAGAATTGACGCCATGGACGGCGGGAGGAGATGAAGTCGAGGTTGGCGGAGAGAGGGGTGGAGGAAGGTGGTGGTGAGGAGGAGGTTGTTATGGGTTTGTAAGGGGAGGAAGAAGACATGGTTGGAAATGGGGAGTAGTTGTGAGGAGAGAGAATGGGGGTGTAAGGGAAGGTCAGGATTTTTGTGATTGGGGATTTCAATATTAGAATGGGGATTTCTATTGGTACGAAGAGATTTCTGAGGAGGGCCAGAGGGGATGGAGATATAGAAATGTGTAAAAAATTTATTAGATTATACACCTTAGATCATTATCAGCAGTGAGGAGAAAACAAACTCCTCAATTTCTCTCTACTCACTTTCTCACTCTTCCCATCCAATTCCTTTCATGAGAGGTTTTTTTTACAACACCAATGCTAAAAAAAAAAAAAACTTCTCATCACTTTATCCTCCACTATTACTATACCCCACCATAATACACATCACCTTTTTTTTCTCCTTTTTTTTAATAATGTTTATACTACATATTTAACTTTCCAATACAATTAAAAATATGTAATATTTTTTTTTATTATTTACGTTTTAATTATAATGTAATAATTTTTAATTATTTTGGTAATTTTTTTATTTTTTTTGTAATTTTTTTTATTTATTTAATGACGGTTAAAATTAATAAATAGAACATTTTCAATATAATTTTTTATTTAACGTTCTTATTAGAATATAATAATAAAAAAAATTACCCATGAGAAGAATTGGCTGCTTTCTCAGCAAGCTAAATGCGCTGGCGTCATTTGCTCGTGGGCCCCACATTGTCACTGTTCATCCTTATTTCCCCTCAAGTCTTGTGCGTTTTTCAATCTCCTCAACCATGAGAAGAATTCCCCTCACTGAAGTAGTGTTTGGTTTTTTTTTTTTACACCTTAAGTTTCACTCGTGAGGGCTTTTTTCACTCACCGCTGGGAGTGCTCTTAGAGCATCATTCATCTTTGAGGTAAATTGCGATATTTGAGAAAAATATTAATATTTAGGAAGAGAAGTTTGAATCGCTTAATTCATTTAAAACTTTACAAGCATTACCACATGTAACGTTATTCTAGACCATAATATTGGAACATATGATTAGTAAACAGCAAATAATCAATACGCCCTCTATCTCAAAATAACTGACACAATCAAATTTTATACACATGTCGAGACATTAGTTTGACCTTATTTTTACATAAGTAAATATTAATGAAAATTTAAAAAAAAAAAAAGTTATATTATGAAACTTTATACCAATACCTATCTAAAAACTTATTTTATAATAATACATGTTGTTTATATATATATATATATATATATATATATATTTTATATATATATATATATATATATAATATATATATATATATATATATATATATATATATATTGAAGAAAGTCCAACATCTCAGTTATTAAGGGATGGAAGGAATACAAAGTATGAATTGTAGAAAATGAGCTAATATATCCATCATTAAAATATAAGGTCAATTATAACTTTAAGTTAATTACTTCTAATGATGATTGAGGTGATGAAGTAATGATATCGTTATTCACTCCCGATCTCAAAATTTAGGATTCAAATCTCATGGAACTTTATTTGACAAATTACTTGCATCTTCACTCAAGAAAATCCCATAACATAAATGAATGAAAAAGAAAGCGGCATTTTAATTTGGTGGGAAAAGCAACTGAGCCGACATGAAATTGAACAAATGAAAACGAAATATCTTAATATTGGGGTTGAGTTGTTTAAAAATACAGCTCTCCGTGTATAAGGCGTTGGTGAGGTCAGGATATAAAGCTTGTTCAAGGCTCTCACATGCAACTGCCACGTGACTTGTTGGAATTTATACCTTTATTTATTTTTTATTAATAATAATCTAGACACTAACAAGTCTTATTTTGATATGTAGTTGCATGATCCAAATATTTTTGGATGATTTAAACAACTTTAATTTTCTTTGTATAATTATATATCAAGGGACCACACTAGGTCACTAACGTGTTGGCAACACATATATCTGGAAATTAAAGAAGATTTCAATGTTTAATACAGTAGAACTCTTCTTAAGAAACATCTATGTAATGTTGATTATTCTAAGTATTGATTATCAATTGTTTGACACTTTGACTTTGACTTTGACATGTTCATACATTCAGGTGTAAACTAAGCACACTATACCCGACAATTCTCCAAGTGATGTGTGTAAGATTACTCTTTAAAAACTTCTATACATGCAGTACAACCGTTGTATAACAAGTCACGAGAATCTTAGTAAGACATGAAATGTCCCCTCGTCGGGGAGTGAAGTAGGTGGAGTGGTATGTATAGATCTCGTCAAAGTTGTAAAGGTTGGATGATAAAAAAAGGCAGAGAGAATGGGCAATCAAAATAATTGCCCTGCCATTGGTGACCTTGTGGTGGATCCATGAGAGACCACACATTGTTAGAGTAGGCCTATTACAAACATATAAAAACTTTGTACAATTAAGTCATACAAACTACCACTTATATAAAACATACACATAAAGTTCTGATTTGAGGCCATCCTTGGCTGTTGGTGATTGCAAGTAGTTGCAATTAGCCCATCAAATACACTAGTTACATAATTTCAGATACAATCACGCTGTATGTCTTTCTGAATTAACTTTCGAGTGCTTTTTTTCCTCACTTTGGTGTTGTTTTCTTGGTGTCCTACTTCATCAATAACTTAGCAAATTTTGTACTTTCGTGAATAACTTGAGTAATTGATACCAAGTACTTCTTATTTGTTCGACTATACACTCATGATAGCTTGAGTAAATGATAATTGTAATAGTATTTCAGTATTTGTCATTTGGGGTATAGCTTTCCATATTAATGTTAGGCAAAAGATATAAACTTTGTACAATTAAGTAGAGTATTGATATTAGAAGACTTGGTAATGATATTCAACAACTGAAAAACTAGAGTATAACCCTTAAGACTTTCACACAATTTTTCGTCTTCTCCACCCACCATGTAAAAAAAGTTGACAAAGCTCGGTTTAGACCAAACCAATCTTCAGTTAAGGATGAAAATATGCAACGAGATAGTTTGCAGCTTCTCACCTTCGTTTTCCCAGTTTTTCACTGAACAAAATCGCCTATTAAAAGGACAATCCAAAGCCTCGGTATATTTATCTTTTCGGGTAAGAAGGATTGAAAATATAGCTTGTGGGTTTCCCTTCCTGAAAAACGTTACTCATTCCAGTAAAACTGGACCGTCGAATTGCTGGTGATGTCATCGCGCATTTCCAATTTCTTCTCTTTTTACCTTATCTAGCTGGTTTGAGTTGACTTGAAGCCTTGAACACCTTTGACAATTGCTGGGAATTTAAGGATGGAAACTGCATACAAAATATATTCAAAAAAGTTAACACGTTAACATCTTACTGCCTTTGCAAAAAGAATAGAATATGAAACAAGGGCAGCTGACAATGCCGCATCCCAATATACCGGATACATCCATCAAATTACGACCTATCAATACTGAAGACAGTTACATTAGGTCAATTTGACATCAACAAATATCAAAATAACCTAATTTCGATTAAGAGGATAACCACATGATATACACACATCCGAGAATAACAAATTTGGCACAATGGGGAGTATATGGAACTATACAAGCAACAAAATCAATCAGGAAAAATAAAAAGGGTAGCTTCAAATTTATCTAATTTTTTAGTGGCAAGCACGCTGATAACTCATAGCAAACCTTGTTATTTTTCAGAATATGCGAGGAAACAAATAAAAGGTGGTAATGCATGTTGAATTGATAAGCCAAATTACTCAAAATGAAAAATGCATATAAAGTATACGCCAATTTTGCACTAACATTATTCAAGATTAACATAAATCTCTAGTACTTCTCTGAATTCAGCTAACTTCAACTTAAAGAGAAATCCTATGATTAGGCAAGATGGTTGCCCCTAAGACTAAATTTACATAGTTTTATAAGTTCCTTCAACTGCCAAGGTAACAATTGCATTTCAAGTTATCAACCCCAGAAAACTGTCTTACACTTCAACAATCAAATTTCATTAACCCTTTATATGAGCGATAACAAGTTTTCATATCTTAAACAGCCACATTAAAACTTCATTTTTCTCTCCTCCTCGCATCCCCTCCCCCCTTCTCATCTCTCAGTCATACAGACCCCCAATCGCCCAAAAGAGGCTGCTTTCAAGATGGAAGGCAAAAGGTTCCTCCACGGGACATTGGAAGTCACCATCTTCCATGCAACACCTTTTGCACCATCCTTTCCCTTCAGTGTAAGTACCGACGAAATATGCATTGAAAATTTTAGAGGCTTCTGAATAATCAAGAGCAAGATATTAAGTGATAAGGAACAGAGAGGGCACATCTTACCAATAATTTGCACAAAAGCACACTTGCACTGATCATCCCAGTCAGCAAGGGTGCCTAATCACGAATTGTTATAGCTTTATTGGATACTAATGTAGCTTAGTAACAAAACAAAAACCTAAATATAATTTCTTAATTCAGATAAAACTTTCTGCTAGTTAATACAATGAAATAAGTTAGTTATATGCAGGTGAGTCCATACTTTAATTATATGTGTAGGTGAGTCTATACTTTTATGTCCTTCATTTTCCCTGCTCATGGAGAGCCAAAAGTCTCATCATTCAGGGGCTGTGGCTAAAACAGGTTCCCACTACGGTAGAGGTACCTGGAAATATTGACGATTCCTAAGAGCCCAAAACCAATTATGTTAATTTGTATATAAGGCCCCTAATTACAGTTTGTATGACACATGCATTAGAAGCAAGCTAGCAGAAGTCCTAAAATAGCAAACAAGTATCCATATCAGAGCACTCCAAAAGAACAAGACGTGATTCAATAGTTGAAACACACCAATCATCATACTAGGGCATAAAAATAGATAATGATACCCGTATATGGAGCTTGATATGGAACAAAGGCTTACATTGATTATACTTGTGCAGTGTTTATTAGGAAGCGGAAGGCCAGCATATGCGACAATCAAGATAGGCCAACACAAAATGGCAAAGACATCAAGTGAACGAGACCGAATTTGGAACCAGACCTTCCAGATACTCTGTGCTCATCCCATTGACTCAATCATCACAATCACAGTCAAAACGAAGTGCTCTGTCCTGGGGAAGATACAATTTGAGGCACATCAGATTGTCACTCAAGGAAGCTTGATAAATGGCTTTTTTCCATTGCTCTCTGAAGAAGGGAAACCCAAGCCAAAGTTTGGGCTCCAATTCATCTTATGGTTTAAGCCAGCAGATTTGGAGCCTAATTGGGGAAAGTTAATTGATAGTGGTGACTTCAAGGGCCTAAGAACTGCAACATTTCCACAGCGATCCAACTGCAATGTAACACTTTATCAGGATGTCCACCATCATCCTTGTTTCCAACCACCGTTAACTGGCCATGGTGTTCCACGAAAGCTATGGGAGGATGTGTACAAGGCCCTTGAAGGAGCAAGACATTTAATATACATTGCAGGATGGTCATTCAATCCCAAGATGGTGCTGGTAATTGTATTTGAACCAAATTCATAGCTATAGTGAATTTTCAGGCATATATAACATAGGGTCTCATGACTTTGGATGAATTTTTATTTCTGTGATCCATATCCTACTCCCCTTTTTCTTGTGTTTCTGACAAGCTTTATGGCAGGTCCGAGATCCTCAAACAGAAATTCCACGTGCAAGAGGAGTGGCACTCGGGGAATTGCTCAGACAAAAAGCAGAAGAAGGTGTAGCAGTGAGAATTATGCTCTGGAATGACGAAACATCCATACCACTTATCAAAAACAAAGGACTGATGAAGACTCATGATGAAGATGCCTTAGCCTACTTCAAGAACACAAAAGTAGTATGCAGATTATGCCCAAGATTACACAACAAATTTCCCACACTCTTCAGCCATCACCAGAAGACTATAACTGTAGACACTAGAGTAGAAAATTCTCCAAGAAATAGGGAAATCATGAGCTTCGTAGGTGGTGTAGATCTTTGTGATGGTCGCTATGATACCGAACAACACTCACTATTTCGGACACTGAATACAGAGCTACATGCCCAAGATTTCTACCAAACAAATATTGCGGGTGCTAGCCTTCACAAAGGTGGACCAAGAGAGCCATGGCATGATGCACATGCTTGCATAACAGGTGAGGCAGCGTGGGATGTGCTTAACAACTTTGAGCAGAGATGGATCAAGCAATGTGACCCTTCACTACTAATCCCAGCAAACGCCATAGAAACACTAAATAAGTCTTCTCCTCCAAGTGACTCTGACAGAAACTGGACAGTGCAGGTTTTTCGCTCCATTGATCATTTCTCTGCAAGTCCACTATCAAACAAAGTTAGCACTGAGCAAAGCATCCATGAGGCCTACGTAGAGGCGATCAGAAAAGCAGACAAATTCATATACATCGAGAACCAGTATTTTATCGGAGGATGCAGTTTATGGGAAAAAGATCAGAACAGTGGTTGCAGAAATTTGATCCCAATTGAGATAGCTCTCAAGGTGGCAAGTAAAATCAGGGCCAGAGAAAGATTCTCAGTCTATGTGGTAATGCCAATGTGGCCAGAAGGGATCCCAGAGAGTGAAAGTGTACAGGATATATTATACTGGACAAGGGAGACCATGACAACAATGTACAGATTAATAGGACAAGCAATAAAAGAAACAGGGGAGCAAGCACATCCCAGAGACTACTTGAACTTTTTCTGCCTTGCTAACAGGGAGAAAAAAGGAGAAGGAGAGTTTGTTCCTTCCTTTTCTCCTCATCATTCAACATCGTACTGGAAGGCCCAAACAAATAGAAGGTTCATGGTCTATGTCCACTCCAAGATAATGATAGGTATGCACAGTCCTTTTTCCAACTCAACTTTCCTGCTGTACTTAAACTTTTACAAATTTCTTGCTACACAAATTAAAGCTCATAACTTCTGATAGTCTTTTATAATATATTCGAAAACAGAAAAGTAAAAAAGCGATATATCATTGAAACAAAATTTTATGTCTTCTCTTTTTTAAAGCTCATATCATAATAGGTCTATGCAAAAGGTTAAATGATATAATTCAAACTCGTATCATATAAAATATATTTCATTTTACTCATGTTGCAAAAACATACTGACATCTAACTGTTTGGTTGCAATAACCTCTCTGCCAGTGGATGACATATACATGTTGATAGGATCTGCAAACATAAATCAGAGATCGATGGATGGAGCAAGAGACACAGAGATTGCAATAGGATGCTATCAAACCAGGATAAACAGTGAGAACCAAAATCAAAATGGAGAAATTTATGCATATCGGATGTCTCTGTGGTACGAGCACACGGGGAGATTGGAAAAAGTATTCGAGGAGCCACATTGCTTGGAATGTGTAGAAAGTATATGTTCTATCGGGGAGCAGATGTGGAAGATCTACAGTGGAGAAGAGGTTGTGGACATGGAAGGCGTACATTTGGTATCTTATCCTGTGAATGTGCGAAAAGATGGTTGCCTCGAAGAACTAGCAAGCTGCAGCAACTTTCCTGATACACAAACTCCAGTACAGGGAAGGAGATCGAAAATGCTGCCACCTATTTTCACCACTTGAAGATCTCATGAATTTCACATCCAACAAACTATACTAGGAAGTGTTCAAAAAAATGTTGAAAGAGCATGATTATGATATGTAAAAATGGATTAAGAAGATCTTGAACAGTAGAGGATCTTGGTCACATATAAAAAGAGGTGGAAACGTTATTAAAGAAAATCATCAAAAGATATAGAATCATGAACAGGGAGAGAGACCCTTCCTCTCAAGATGAATCTCTCACTTCCATTAACCTATGCACTATAAATCTCACCATACCATATTACCATTCACATAAGACATGCCAGCTTGCACTACGAATGCAAACTAAAATTAAAATGAGAATCACCATTCTTCAAGTGCTAACATGGCTAATCACTAAATACAATAGAAATGAGTTTACTTGTCAATAACTGAGAAAAAAGAAGTTGAGGTTATTAAATTTATAATTTGTAATACAAAAAATGAGCAATAAGTATTGCAAATGGCCTTCAAGAAGAAAAATAATTTGTGATTTTTTATAAAAACATGAACTCCAATCCCCCGAGTAATAAACATTATAACAAAAATTCACAAACATAGGAGGTATCTACTGACCTATTTTAGATTCTGAATGAGAAATAACATAAACAACCAAACATCAAATAACAAGATATCTTTGGCTAAGTTGAGCTTTGACATATACGGGCAAACGAAAGTCACCAAAAAAAAGCCCAAAACAGCTATATTCTGGCAGTGAAATACCTAAAACAACACTCATAATGATATTTGAGTCATTTTTTTTACAGAAAAGAATCACAGGCTATAATGTACAGGTGAACCCCTCCTTACCCCCTCCTCAATCTTTTACAAAAACATATTACAGATATGGTATAGAATATAAATACCTATTTGGCTGTCTTTAGCATGCTCCTCAAAACAAGAAGGTAAAGCAACTTGATCTGTAAAAGAAATTAAGAACAAATCATCAATAATAAGAAAAGGTGAAAATTCAAGAAAAACAACACTATAAAATAAATATCACAGCAAACATCATCCATCCATAGAGAAGACTTGTACACCCTTTATGTTGCTCAGAATCTGGCACTCGTATTGGACGCGGGTATGTGTCTAAGTGTCTGATTTGGCTATAATGACTTGCTATTGAAGTGAGGCATGCAACAAAAACTCACTACGAAGTAAATATCAGTCAATGCTGCATAAACTAATTCTAGACATGTCGATATCAGTTAGTACTTAGTAGAGCACCTATTCTGAGCTCAAATAGCCATTTTACAGGAGAGAAAAAGCTGACCTAATCAACACTATCACTGACTAGGTTAGCAGTGTCATACAAGGTTGTGTCCAAGTCTGCAGATGTATGTCCAACCAAAAGATGGTGGATGCATGCAGGAAATATAATTCTCATTAGCATCTAGAAATATCCTCATTATATAAATAGAACCAAAGGAGTTATGTACAAAATTAAAGAGCTAAAAAGGTAGTATATGAGAAGCAGGAAGTTCCCTTATGAGAAATCCAGGTCCTCTAGGTCTCCATCTAAAGTAAAATTGGACATGTCATAAGCATATATTGTAAACAACTAAACAATATTTCAAGAATCTTTCTAGGTAGAGGCTCCTAAGTCATAAATATGGAATAAATAAAATCCTTTGCAATGGAATAGAACTATAGTAGTACAAATAGGGGTAGGAGTAAAACAAAAGTTCAGTTCTAAATCTTTCCACCAAACAACATAATGTATTTCCTCAAAACTAACATGCTCTGTACTGGTGGAGATGCTTGCAACAATCAATCAGTGATACACATAATGTCTATTACTTAGACACCGTTATGTGATATGGCTCAAGATTTGCATCTGTTTCGACTCTCCTCAAGCAGAATTAGATATTAATACCTATCCATGAAGTAACGTTTATCTGGCTCTACTAATAATTAAGGATGTAAATAAGTTCGCAAGAATACCTTCAACTCAACCTAAAAGAAGCTCCATTAAACTAACAATCGATCACCCTCTTCACACGGCTGCTTCCTCAAACAGTTTGCTTCAAAATTGCACAATCACTAGGAAACTAAGGTTAACAATCATAACAAAAAATAGTGTCAGCTAAGACAGATGCATTTAGACAACTAAGCTTAGATAGAACCAGATACAACAGACCTGTGTTTGAGAGCTTGTCTCATACTCAAAGCCTATGAGTGTAGAAAATATCAAAAGTTTCATTTCAATCCCATAGTTTTTGGGCTGAGAATTGGAGGAAGACTTTAAAATGCTAGACTCCAAACAAGCATTAACAGACTAAACAGCTCAATATAGCCTAAGATACTCATAAACTAAAGAATGAGCAAAATGGTTATACCCTTGTATAATCCTACACGATATTCAGTCGACTTATAAATGGTGCAAGACAAGAATACCTGCCCATGAAGCTCATATCAGTTGCTGCTCCTATACGATCATCCTGGCTTCAGTTTCTCTGGATCCGTAATCGAAGATCTACGCGAGGACACCAGTATATCTAACCACTCAACCATTTTGCAGAACTATAGATCAGAGAGAGAGAGAGAGAGAGAGAGAGAGAGAGAGAGTACAGTAAGAAGACTATGACATGAGTTAACAACGAATACGTCATTAGATCATCATGTCAGAATGGAAAGCTTCTAGCATGCACTGAGCTCATAAACCTTGAAATCAATTGCTTCAATAATCCTCAAAATCCAATCATACATGCCTTATTCCTTTCAACTCTCAAAGAACTTTTTTCTTAGGAGCTCCGTGAATGCAACATCTTAGACAGAACAAACTGCATAACTCAGTTTTCCATATCAACAACTTCTGCAGAAAACCAAAACCACCGATTGATCTAGATATACCTCCATTGATCTCTTCAAAAACCCTCAAAATTCAAACTAACTAAGTCAATCCACACCAATGATATCCAGTAAGAACTAGCTGACCTAGAACTAAGACTTGCCTTCACAACTCAGCATGGGGAGCATGATGCAGCAGAAACCAAAGAATAATAAATTAGCTTGACGAATCTATCCGGAAGACCGGAATCCGGATTGCTTTTCTCAAAATTAATCATAAGAAAAACGCCTAAAAAATATCCAAAGAGACTAAACAACCCACCATTCCCCATTCCTTAATAGCTTGCAGAAATAAAGAAGAAAAAAAATAGAAAAAGAAAAAAAAAAAAAGAAAGTAATCAAGAGTAACAAGACGAGGCAACGGAATACTTAGGCAAGCAAACCAATCATTGTGCGTATAGTTCATCAGAGAAAATTTTAGAGATAGCGATCAGGTAATCAAGGGTTTGGACGATTAAAAAAAAGGATTCTCTGGTGGGAATGGAGCATACAATAACGAAATGGGGGTAATCAAGAGAAAGAACATTGAAATGGACAACCCGCCTATGAGATGGTAGGTACTAAGTAGCATTAGGGTATCACTTTCTTGAATCCAACAGTCCCAAATGTAATAACAATTATCTAATAAACTAATCAATGGTCAAATCATATCAAGAGATGCCACATAAATTAAGTTAGCCAAAGACTAGAAACACTACAGCACCACCAGCCACTTGAAACAAAGGAGCCAAAACTATCCAATAGAAACATCACTCTCTTTAACTTCAGCACTTCACCAATCAAAAGAAAACAATTCCAAAACCGTCAACAGAACAATATGAGCTTATTATAATAGTATACAGAAAACCCTTGTAAACTTGAACATCAAGCTTAAGATGCACAACAAAAGGGCAACAGCCACAAACATATAGCATGCCTTATGATGGTAGCCTCTAGGAGAGTCCCTAGTTTGATCCCAAATCAGTAAGCATCTCAGTGATCCAACGAGCTTGACACTTGTAGCTGTCTTAGCAGACACATAGGTCAACAGTAGGATGATTGTAATTACCACGGTCCATTTTGCCAAAAATCAATGGAAAGTGGTAGACAAGATTTCCAGGTAGATTAATTGAGTGCAAGAATGATCCAGAATGGAAACTTGAGAGCAGCGCCCCATAACTTCTCTTAATCAAGGTAAACCAACAGATCAGAGGCTGCCAAGCATTATATATATAGCAGGCAAAAGGAAACTTACAAAGTTATAATAGATTCACAATAAGAAGAGTACATGCTGCAGGAGAAAATCTTAGTGCCCAAATATATAAACAGCAAGTGAAAATTATTTGACATCGAATATAAGAGTTACATTGGAAAAGAGGAGAAAATAAGCTATATAATTAACAATGTCTAATAAATAACATAAATAATGTTACAGAAACACAGCATACATGTATGGTCACATAGGGAATTTCAAGCTAGAAAACCATAACCTATATAAAAGTAAAGCACAGGTGCCAACACTAACAAACCAAAAGTGGCGGTAGCACATCCATTTACCAAGAAACTGGACCCCATCTACAGCTATAAAACGGACAAGCAAACAGTTATAAATCTACCAATTTAAACCTTTTGCATACATTGGAAATTAGAAAAGCATAAGAGGTAAGGCCAGGCTCAAGAGAGTTCTTCATCTTCGTGAACCACGAGGCTTCTCAATTCCACCCCAAGCAGCAGATCCTGATCCATAGTGAGGAGCCTTCTCAGCAGCACCCTACAAGACAATTAAACATTACAAAACTAGAAAAATAACCTCAAGAGGTTGCAGTCCACAAAAAATGACTCCTACCATATGAGAACCATAGGGATCTCCATAATGACCAGGATAGCCGGCATCAGAACTGCCAAGTTTCATCCCATAAGTTGCACCTTGAAAGTGACAAGCCAAGGAGATTGTATCAGAAGCCAGCAATAGGAAAAATAGAAAAATGAAAAAAGAAAAAGAAACATGATAATTCACATAAGACTTTTACTGTTTTACACACTATACAATTGATGGCTACTAACGACATATGCAGCTCATAAAAAGAGTGCGTAAGCATTAAGTGCAAGATTACAAAGAAATGGAAACATAACAAACAGGTCCTAAAAATCTGCAGAATAAAATCATTATCTTTTCTCATGCTGAAATATTTTGCTCATAATCTTTTTGAAATGATGAACTAGAAACAAACGACGGTTTACAATGCCAAACAAGTTGAGCCTTCCACTTCCACAACTGCGAGTGAGTTGCTTGATTAAAAAAAAAAAAACAAACAAAAAGAAAGCAGTACTTAAAGCTTAAATTAGTACCACCAGCCCAAGGTCTGCCATTACTGCTCGTGAGTTCTGCCCGCAACTTTTCAACTTCACGTGCCATGGAGATCATATTATTCTCCATTGCTTGCTTTTGTTCATGCAGCGCAATCTTAGCCTTCTTTTCATAGTCGATGGCTGTTCTGTAAATAGCGAAACAAAGATTCAAATTGGCAATAGACATAGAGCTTACATTAAATATGCCTCTGAATACATAAACATTAAGGAGAATAACAGGCTACAAACCTTGCACGCATTAGTTCCTGCTGCATGCCATCAATTTCAGCTCTTAGATGTGGAATTTGCTGATTCTCCGATTGTAACTTAGCCAAATCCTTCGAAAACGACTGAACTTGCCCAACCAATTCTAGGCGAATCTTTTCCAACTTCTGAACTTCCGTGCGCATCTGCGTAGCATCCTTCTTAAATGACTCAGCTGCACGAAGATCAGCCTCCAGCTTCATAACTTTATCAATTAGCTCCCTTGAACGAGCATCATGCTCCCCACGAATGTCAGAAATAGCAAGATTCATTCTATGAATATCCTCCCTAGAAGCATTCAACTCTCGCTGCAATGCAACCCGGTCATCAGCAAGCCTTCTGTTATCCTCCAAAAGCTTATGCATCTCACCGCGCTGTATTTCAATTTCTTCCTCCAAGACAGCAGGGTGAAAAGGTGGAGGTCTCGGCATTGGACCTCCCCGAACAATGGGTCCTCCTGGGGGGTAACCGCGCCTATCATTAAACCCATCACGCGGTCCACGATTCCTCCCCGACATTATCACACCCTGTCACCCTTTTCTTCATAATTCCATCAAACAAAGAATAAGAAACAATATAATCAATACAAACATTTTGAGCGACTCCAAATTTCAGCAGAATTTACCCTACTGTTGTTTCAGTTTAAAACATACACAGTCAAGTTTCTTACATCAAAACACAGCAAATCAAATTATACCCAACTTAAAATAAAAAATAAACACAATTTCCAAAAAAAAAAAAAAAAGGAAAAATTAAATTCTTCAAGAACAACAATAAAACCCTAATCGACAAAAGCAGGAAATGGGGGGTTATACAGTCTGCATCAAAATTAAATTTAAACGAACTAACCCAGAAAATAAAAAATTACAATAGTCAAATTAATTCCACAATAATTAACTAGAAACCAATAAATTTCACAATCTAAATTCGCTAAATTTAACAAAAATCAATGGTAAAAATTAATTCAATAAAATTCCGGAAAAATAAATGAACAGTTTAGAAAGGATGAAGAAATTATATAGAGAATAATACCTTAGAATTTGAAAAATGGTGGAAATAGTAGTAGTTAGTCGTAAAATTCAGATGAATTTCCCAGCAAAATTATTCAAGGGGAATCAAAGGGGAAGTATATGGCGTTTTTGAGGTGCACACAGAAACTCTGCAGCAGATTCTGCGCAAACGGTGTCGTATTAGCCGACTCTACATAAATTTTGGGTCAACTTAGTCAACTTATATTTATTTATTTTTGTAAGGGCTCGTACAAATGGAACCATTTGGGTCTAGACGTCTAGTTGTGCAGCATTGGGCTTAAACCCTCACGCATCTACCACCAGTCCACCACCATTAGTCATTTAGTCCCTCGTCAATTAAGGTCATGTTGTGTCGGAGAAAACTTGCGTGGACCTGGTACACGATAATATAATTGTGGACCTGAGGTTTATTTGCATGTAATTGACGTTATATTAAATATAGTGACCCTAATTTTAACATAGTAGCCTTCATTATTTATATTGACCAGTATATAAAAATTTCATTAAAAAAAAAAAAAAAAACCTCTTATAGCCTTTTTTATACCACAATGACTTTTATTTCAACGTAACAACCTTTATTTAAATGTAGTAACCTTTTTATTTTATTAATAAAACAACCATAATATCTCTAATGTTAGTGGTCCACGACAAATTAGTGTGAATCAGTTTCATTTAAAAATTTGTATGTTGTGTCACTACATTTGGGTGTTCATTATATTATTTCGTACGTTCTCTATTTTCATCTCCTATTATCCAATCTTCCCTTTACGGTACATTTACAAACAAATTTGAAAGTTTCCCGTTATTGAATTTTCAAAGACTCATATTTTGACAATTCTGCTAATTGGAAAATCAAAGATGTACAACAAAGAGAATAGAGTTGAGAAAAGTTTATTTATGGTAAAGAATGGAAAAGATAGATATTTAACCTATCAACTATGTGTATCTTCTTTGTGTTTTGGATTATTAAGGTTGAAACTTTTTAACAATGAATTTGATAATATTCTCATGCAATATAATGGAACTGAAATTCAATCGATAAAAATTGAGGGCCCTGGGAATTATAATGTTAGGCAATGAAGGGCCTCGGAAACTAAATCCTCTAGGTATTGAAGAGATATGGAAATCATAGCCAGTAATAAAATGAAGGTCCCGAAATTGATAGGCGGTAGGAAAATGAAGGTATGATTTTACTTATTAATCACTTCCAAAGGTTTAGGCCATAATGAAGATATGTTGAAGCATGGTTTATCATTAGCTAAAGTGTACGTGTAGCTTTTTTCTTGCCTTAATTGATCATATATATAAAACGTTATAGTAAGTATTACCTTGTTTGCTCACCCTATAATATATGTTTTTTTTTTTTTTTTTTTTTTTTTTTTTTTTTTTTAGAGAATTGGAATAATGCTGAGAGTGTTACTTTCATAATGACATCGCTTACTTTTCAATGATAACCAAGTTGTTCATTAAGATCAACATAATTCAAATTTCCAGTCTATAAAAATAAATACGAAGTACTACTGTTAACACTTTTAACCTAGACGTAGATACAATTTCTTCTATATACCATGCATATTCCTTCACATATTAACATAAGAAAACAAAAATTATGATACAAAATGACATATTTCGTACAAAAATACCAAATCTCTATGGATAACTATTAACCCACCCTTCCTAAAATAAATTAAAAGTATATATTTATAGAAGGACAAATTTGTCAATTTATAGAAGGACAAATTTGTCAGGCGAGTGAAGGCCAGCCACACGTGTGCAACTGCAGGAAAAATTTGTATGTTTGCATGATTATCGTCTAAAAATAGTGTTGATTGCATAAGAGTGAGGAAAAAAGTTGGCATTGAAAGAGTCCATATTTGTTTAGGACATGTACCCTCAAAATTAAGGGTCATCTCTTCTCCTTTTGACCCAAACTGGCATTCCCTTTTTCATTCTTACTGTTGGAAAATGGACAATGGAATCATCCTCAGCCTCCCATCTGCATGCATGTGAAGATACAAATTATACCAATATGAAGTATGTAATTCAACTCAAAATATCAAGTTGTTACACTTTCATTCACGTGGTCAATAAGATAAGGATTAATAAGTTATTATTATACTTCGTAGTTGTTACATGGTGTCTATATAACAACTTACAAAGTAACTTTTTAAAAGTCCAGTTTCCTCACAAATTTTAATGGTATGCACTAGCTTAGTGTCTCAAATCGGGTATATGTTGTTAACTTTAATGAGTATACACATAATAGTTGAAGATATTTCATAAATACCAGGATGAATGAAGGCATACATAGAATTTTCTAAAAATGGTTATATCTTAGGACTTAGGTGCATAAGATAAAATAAAATAAAATGTTTATGTTACCTGAATCGTGTAACAAAATGATGGAGAAAAATGGAGGCTTCCAATCTAGCCAAATCTAACCCAGGGCAAAGTCGTTGTCCACCACCAAAAGGGGTGAAGCTACTACTATTTATATCTTTGTGCTGTGAAAATAAAGAAAATGAAGTTAGTAAATAATTAACAAATGATAAAAATATGCAAAAAAACAAATTTACCTGCCATCTACAAGGGTTGAATTGGTAAGGCGAGTCATAAAGATTTTGATCAAGGTGAACTGATCTAAGATACGTAAGCACACACGATCCCTTTGGTATCAAATAGCCCTTTATCTCCACGTCTTTCATAGCTTTTCTCATCAATCCCGTGATTATATTTCCCATCCTCAAAGTTTCTGTAATTACCTGCACATACAAAAACTACTCATAAGCTACAACTTTTTCCAATTTAATTATTTTCCCAATTAAATAACACCGACTCCCCCTATTACCATATCGTCTAGTTACTAGAGAGAATCCCCGTCCCCAACAAACAAACTTACCATTTGTGTGAAAGGCAGTGAAAGGTAATCACTCCAAATCATGGGCTCCCCTAGCTCTAACTTCAGCCTATGCACTTTCATATTCTCTTCCTGTAAATTAAAGATAATCCAATTGTCACAATTTTGGAAATTAAAACTCTGTAAAGTATACAAAAAAAGATTTGAAAAGTAATCTTACAGTCAATTTTTGGAGGATTAATGGAGAATCTGATAAGTATTTTATAGCAAGAGTAATTAGAAGTGGGACAGAATCTTCCCCTGGTATCATCATATCAATCATATTATCAGACATTAGATCATCTGTTAATTGTCCACTTTGGTCACTTAACAGAACATCTAACACATCATTTGGGTCTGCTGCTTCTGGGACCATATTATTCCTTTTACTGATTATTATTTTCTTCACTAACTTCACCATTTCCTTCTTTGCCTGCATACATAATATTAAACACATTCACATAATCAATAACGCCAACTAAAGTCTCGTGTACGATAGGTCACATATGCAAATCCCCTAACGTCTTTGTTGCCCATTCAGACCAAAAAAATAATATAATGATAAATCAAAACATTGAGGTAGCGTGTGTTTAGCAATTTGTGTACCTGTAATGATCGATAAAGTTGAGTTCCAGGCAAATTAATTGGCAAAGACATTAGCCCTGAAACAAACTCTTGAAATTGCTTTTTTAAGAGCTGCATTTCCTTCCCTGGATCCAGACTAATCAATGCTTTTACCAGCACTTGAAAAGCAATCTGACAATCATCAACCAAACTTATTATTAGTACTAACTCCTATTATTTCACACCTAATAATAATAATAATAATAATAATAATAATAATAATAATAATAATAATAATAATAATAATAATAAGCTTATTAAAACTTAACAATACTAATCACCTAAAGAAAAAAAAAAAAAAAAAAAACACTTGTATCTTGTGTTTGGTTTTTTTTTTTTTTTTTTTTTTTTTCGTTTTTTTGTTTCTTTTTTACTGATTCAACCTTTTTAGTTACAACTTATATTACAAGTTACAACCATATTTTTCAGTTTTAAGATCAGATAACAAACCATGTATATACATGAAACTGTACTCCGACCTAAGGTGTGGCCGCCTGAGGTTCAGATATACGCAATTTTATCATTATGATTACAAAGAGGTTCATTTAATCGCGTACACGTAAATTAAATTAGAAGTAAGAAAGAGGCCGGGAGGCGACTCACTTGTTTGGCTTCATCTTGGATGAAAATGGGGGAGTTAATGTTATCATCCCATCTATCCATAGCTTGTTGAACATAACTCTGCATGTCTCTAGTGACTTGAGCTTTAAGATGTGATGATTTGAAGAAGGAGCCAAGAAGTCCATGAATTCTTCTTTGCAAACTTCCATTAATTAAAAGAATTGAAGACTTTCCCATTAATTCTGTTAATGATTTTGGATAAGATGGTACAAACAATTTTGCATCACTTAGTAATATAAACTTGTTCACCTCTGCATCTGTTGATATTATGGTTTGTTTCCCAAATATGTGAGACTTGAATACCTTACCATACCTTGTACCACACAAAAATACCGAAAACACCCATTAAAATTAACCTTTAAGGGTATCCAAATCTCTACAAAAAAAAAAATCAAAAAAAATGTTAATTTGTATGACTGGTACTTACAGACGACGTCGTTTCTCCATGAAGCTCTCAGGATGATCTGAATATGCACAAGAGATAAACTCCATGGTTTCGCCGAGGATTGGCCATCCATTGGTACCTAAAGGAAGTATTGAACTAGTTGTACAACTAGCAGTTGTAGTTGTACTAATACTAGTAGTTTTAGTAGTTGATGTTTCAGGGTGTTTTTTTAGTGATATACTTGTGATAGATTTGAGGTTGTTATTCCTAAGAAGATGGAAAATGTAGGAGAGAGAAAATGCAGTTGCAATGACAAAAGAAATCAAAGCCGAGATGCAGGGAATGTCCATTTTCTGGGGTTTAGGTTTAGTTATTGCACTTTCTGCACAAGTGTAAGTGTAGCTTTATAGCAAAATATATATATATGGTTACATAATCAATAAATTTTATATATATAACCTATAGTTTTTTGGTGGTGTTAAGTAGAGGGGCCAAAAGTAATGAAGTATGCATCATCATATAATACTTACGCTACTTATGAATTTGCATGGATATGCGCACGGGCGCCGAACTCATAAAAGGGTGAGATCTTGATTATGTTGTATGGTTGTGGTTGTTTAGACCGTTGATCTTTCATATACATAATCCAATCGATCTATTACATTCATTCATACACATACCTCCAAAGACAAAAAAGATATTGGTAATTTAGATATATTGGGTATCTCGTGAGTATACAAATTGATACAACGTATGTACCATTTGGACTTACGGTCTTCTCATATTTTACGAACAATTAGGTTTTAGTGATGATTTATTAAATAAAAGGTAAATTGTTTAAAGAAAAAATAGGTAAAAATGATCCCACCTTTTACATATTCGTTTTATAATCCCAACTTTGAATTATTATTAAATAATCCCAACTTTAGGGTGTATTCGCTCACATTGGTTGAAATGTAAAATAAAATTAACTTAAAAAAAAAGAGTCGAAATTCAAAAACCCCCACCATCACCTGTAACCACCATCAGCCACCATCACCTGCACAGCAACCTAAGCCTCCCACCGCACCACCTGCCGGCATCCCGAAAACACCAGCAGCCACGCGCAATCACCCACGAACCAACGACAACATCAACACCAATTATCGCCACAGCACTGCCCGTCGTCACCACCAATTCGAGGTACGTAGCAACCCGCGAATTGCAGCAAAATCAACCAAACCTAACTCGCGATTCCGCGATTTGTGGTTGATGTGTGTTTGTGGGCTGGTGCTGGTCGCGACAAAGCGGCTGTGTAGAGGGTGATTGCTCGTCTTGGCGCCGGCGGGGATGGGAGGTCCGTGAAGGGGCCATGGTTGGTGATGGAGATGGTGGTCGTCGTGGGTGAAATTTCAGGGGTTTTAGGGGTTCGTGGTGGAGATGGTGGTTTTGGGGAAATTAAAGGGGCGTCGGGAAGGGGAGCTACCGGCGCAGGGGAGGGGGTTCAGGCCGGCGCTTGAGTGGGGAAGATGATTCTGGCCACCGTGGTGGTGGTGGGGAAGGTGGTTCATGGGTGGAGGCTGGCAGTTTTTTTTTAAGTTTTTCTTTTTATTTTTCAACCAATCAATTGGTGGCACGTGTCACCTGAACATATTATAACATGTTAGTAACCAGTTAGGGACCAAAGAAAGTGAATACACCCCAAAGTTGGGATTATTTAATAATAATACAAAGTTGAGATTATTTAAAGCAAATATATGTAAGTTGAGATTATTTTTACCAATTTTTCCTTGTTTTAAAGAAGACACACCCAAGGGAAAAATAAGTAAATAATAGTGTGTGTATAACATTTGTCCCACGACGGCACGACCCAAACATAGGTACAGTCAAGTGCACAACAAAATTTAAGTAGCTAGGGTGCAAAAGGAATGAAAACATAGGGTTAATCTTATCTATAATTAATATCTACAGATCCACAATGGCTAGCTACATGTACATGTAGCTTTCGGTTGACACATCATTACTCCCCAAGCTACATGATTTAATTTACAACCTCTACAAATTACTTCCTTTTTGTAATAAATAAACCATTTTTTTTTAAATAAAAACATTAAAACAAATACATAGAAAATATTAAACAAATCAATATATGTGCATTGGGTGGAGTAAAACTACATATCTCTATAGAGCTATGTAGTTTGGCCTTAGCTACAACCTATGTAGCTCCACAATGACTAGCATATAGCTCTAATTATTTATAAATTGCAAACAAGTCCTTTTATGCAACCATTGTAAACGCACTAATAGCTAGAGCTAAGAGGAAGTCTTGGTCAGCATTATAATTCAGCAATGCAACAATGAAATGATATTAAAGAGGATCCAATGCTTAATTTTGTTGGGGCTTGTTTGTTTGTGTTGATTCTAGTCAAAGTGTTTTTACCTAGAACCACAGAAATATATGCAAATTATATCAAAGGTATATCCCGGTTTTCGTGGGTGTTTTGTTTGGTTTAACAAGAACAAACCCTTAATTTTGGTACTTTAGAATGATCCTTCTCAACCACGGTAGATGGTCCAATTTTTATGCATTTTCTAACAAGCATACAATTTTTGATTGGTAGGATAAAAAAGCATACGTTGGACTTCCGAAATTTCCATGTTCTTTAGATCCACACATTTCTTGGGTAGGTTTTTGATCAATTTGAATCTATACTTTTATTGTTTTACAATTTTATGTTGTTTGGACACATTATATTTTAGTAGAAACAATATTCATAAAAATGATACTCCGTATAAGAGATTTTTTTGGCTAAATTATAATTTGAGTTTCACTTTATTGAATAATCTATCATTAGTACAAACTCTACTAGTTTACTATTCATTTTTGACAACTTTAAGTATCACAAGCTATTTCTTACTTACATCTTTACTTTATTTTTAGGTCAATGTATACCCCGTTTAAAAAAAAAAAAATAAAGGTCAACGTATATAATAAAAGTTAATAAGTTAAGGGACAAAGGTAGTATACTAGTATGTAACTATATTTCATTAAAATGTGAATGTCAACTAGCTTAGTTGATTAAAGTATTCGGGATGATCATACCAAAGACTTAGAATTAAATCTTGTCTATACACCAAAAGAAATACTTGTACATCATTACAATTACCTTTGCCTCTTGGCTAACATTTAAGGCCAATATTAAGCTACATCTAAGAACTTGCTTGCTGGTACAGTGGTACTTGGTAAAGCTTCCCAAGTCCCAAATACAACAAGAACACTCTTTTCTTTTGATTCTTTTTTCAAAAAATTAAAATAATGAGATCAGTAGGAAATATAGTATAAATTTCTACTTGCTTTATTATACAAAGTAAATTACAAGGCCTTGATAAAAATTACATTTTATCCTTTACAAATTACAACTTTCTTCGAACTACCATACTATATACAGTATATACTGTAGATAGAATGAGGAATGAGGAGATGGAGGGATGGTTTCTCACCCAGCTCCTCCAAAGTAACGGGGGTTTGATTTCTCATCCAGCCTTCCATTTTAGTGATAGGGAGGGGGTTCCATTCCGTATCTTACCATATATAAAAAAATATATACTTCATATTATATAGATAGAATAAGTTTGACGGGAATTGACCTCGGGCCATCACAAGGCCACAAGGCCCACAACCATGATTAAGTGGGATTAAGGGCGTCCCCTCATCCCCTCGTGCGTCCATGTGATAATTAATTGTAAACTTCACTTCCCCATCATTTCAAACTCAACAAACTATAATTCTCCCCTAAAATCCACATATTAATTGACAGGCCAAAGTTTGAAGAGGTTTACTTGGATAATGGGGTTCCCCCATCCCCATTATCTTCAATTTATATGCAATATAATATACACTTGCACACGTATTTCCCTCGATTACTAATTATTAGGTGGTGGTCACGTACTCAATTTAAGCCCTTTTTTTCATTTGTTACGTGATCAATATGGTAATGTAGTAGCTAATGTTATCCATTTAAATTTATAACATTAGTTCAGGTGAAACAAATGCGCCTGAGTGAATGACACTCTGTGAAAATTTTAAGAGTTCAATAATAGGAGTATATTGATATTTAAAGATATTCCGCATGAATTTTTCACAAGTTTTAGGCCTTGTTCTAAATTTTTCAACAGTTTTTTTTTTCTTTTTTTTTTTTTTTTGTATTTGTAAAAGTTAGTTTTAAACACCTCATTTTGGAATGCAAAGTACACTTTGGATGTTGTACATAAATGACAAATTAAGAATACAGTTAGGAGAACAATGTACACATACTATAAAGTAGGTTAGTAGTTGCCTATAACCTTCCAAATTTAGGGTCAGAATCTTAAACAAAGATTAATGACCTTTAAGATTATTGTTCCACATAGTAGTAGTCTAAAGGCCATCATTTAAATCTACTGGAATAGAAGAATATTATTAAGGGCTAAACTCCTTTTAAGCAAACTAAATAATAGAAAAGGCCTTCTTTTGGAGCCCCAAAATCTCTCTTTTGACTATTGAAAGGCAGTATACAATTGTCATATATAGCTAAGTTCATCACTTCTTTTGTGGAACTACCTACCTAACTTCAATCCATACAAAATTAACTTTAATTTTTAATGGCAAATTATACTATTTTATTGTTTAATATTATATATAATTACTTTAGTTATTATAAAACCACTTGTAATCATATGTAATCATTCCATCACATTAAGATACTTCCTCTTTCATTCATATAACTCTCTACTTTACAAATGAAATAGGTGGTTAACTGGTTATTGTATATGGTCAACTTGCTTTTAAGTTTATAATTATTTCGTGCATAATTTTTGGGCGCAAAGTATGTCATGCACTAAACGCCTAAACACCACCCATATTATAAGGGAGTTATTATTTGATGAAATGAAAATATTCATGGCGACATTATAAATGACCTATATACCCTTATAAATAATTCCTTTTCCCCTAATTCAATCTACCTCATACACCACCATCTTCTTCACACTGTTCACCAAGCCGCCACCACCCACAACACCAACCTAAACGACAACAACCTCTTCATGACGGCAGCAACCCACCACGCAACACCAGTCGAGCTCCATCGACCAGAGCTTACACGACAACAACCTTTTCATGACGGCAGCAGCCCACCACGCAACACCGGCGAGCTCTGTCGACCAGGGCAAGCGCGAGATAAAGGCCACCACTGTCATGCCTCGTCAAGGGAAGCAACTACGGAGGAAAATGTCAGCCACCGCGCTGGTAAGTTTTTTTTTTTTAATTTTTTTTTGTTGGTTATGAATGTCTGTCGAAAATGTCCTCAACGTGGTGGAGACATTTGAAGGAGATGTCCCTTCTACGGTGGAGACATCTCCGACAGACATCTGTTGTAGATGTTCTTCCATTGGTAAA